CTTGCTGCTGTGACAAACATGCATCACCATACTGAAACTTCATTCTTCGATAAATTTCAGTAGGTTTCACATCTTCACTACACAAAAACCGAATAACAGAACGCTGTTCTTCCTTGGTGCAAGTCTCAAGTGGGGCAGCCATCTTATACTGGTGCTGTGACGGTGTTCGTGCATCTGCACTATGTTGCAACCTACAGGCCATTCTGCACGCTGTTTGTAGCACGCGTACCAACTTACAGGATAATGGCACGAAATTTTGATTTTTTATTACAAATTTAAGGTTTTCATTTGACTCACCCTCATATATATATATATATCTCATCTTTTGCCATTCTAACAATGCAACTAGTCAAAGACTAATGATCATGTCTGTTCTCACTTAAACTACTACAACTATAACCAAACGTCTAAGACTATGCCCACTGGTGTGTCCCAGCATCTGGTGTCTTGAGCACACTGTTGTGACACCCATGTCAGTATTTACACTAATGCACACTTGCATTACACTAGTTCAAATGGCTTGAGTCTCTTGAGCCTTCTCACTGTCCTTGCGTTGTCAAGAATCTGTATTGCTACCATGTTGGTGTGTTGGTGAAGCCGATCTTGGTGCTTCTTAGCTATCCTTTTAATTTTGGCAGTGACCATCCTAATGCCAAGATCCCTGTGGATGTCACTATTATGGGCGTACCAAGGGGCATTTACTGTTCCCCTCAGCACTTTATTCTGAAATCTCTGTATCCTTTGGATGTTACTCTTACTGGCACAACCACACAGCTGTATTCCATAAGTCCAGACTGGTTTCATGACCTTTTTTTGAAGGGGAGAGTGAATGGGAGAAATTATACCAGTAATAAGGGCCAGTGCTTGGAGGGGGGTTAAATAATGGAGGGATGGGAAGTATAAACTAAATACACGGGGTGTATGCCAGAAGAGGAAGGAGTCACTAACAGCGGTAGTTTCAGTGTTTGAAAAGGGATACTTCAATATTCTTTACACTGTTTTCCTTACATGTACTGGTTTGTGTAGGGCCCCAGTTCTGCCTTTGCCTGTATCTGCACTACTGTTTTCTATACTAAGTTTGCTGTTCTACATGGAACACAGGTAGCTGGTTGCTTTGAAATGCTGATAGCTACACAGCATCACAGCCCAGAAGACATCAACCTTGGTTTTCTTCACTCAACTCTTGCAGATGGTGGGACATTACTACTCTGTGACATACTACTTATAATTGTTATCAGCCCCACCAGCATCTGTGATTTGGTCATTTTATCATGTCACCAGTGTAATGACTGTGCATTTACTTTCCAGCTCATGAAGATAGAAGAGGGGTTGCTTAATGGTGAGGTCCTCTTTCATGAAATCATGGAGAAAACTGATGAAGAGAGACTGCTGATACAGAAGAAGCGAGAAGAGAAGAGGTTAGATTCCCGGGAACCATTGTTCCAGTCTTAACAGTTGGCTGCAGTGTTGGTTTAGAAAACTTTCTAGATACCATCTGCAAAACATAGTGGTGAAGTTTATAGCATTGTTTGTTTTTATTATATGTCTCCAGTTTGAATCTAAGCTTGAAACCTGAGCAGTTTTTTTAATTCTCACAGTGGGGGGTGGAGTCTAACTGGGTCCAGTTGGCACGTCGGCCACTGATTGGCCTATTGTATGTGCCCCTGGTGATTATGACGATGGAGAATTTGATGGAATGAAGATTGGCAGGGGAAACTGAAGTCCTTAGAGAAAATCTGCCCCAGCACCACTTTGTTCACCACAAATCCCACTTGACCAGACCCGGGCTCAAACCCGAACCACCGCGGTGGGAAGCTCAAGTTATGGTGCGGCCTAGAACCTGAGCAGTTAGTCAGCTGGTATGACTGGAGGCTTCTGTTTTATAGTTGGTTCCTCACCAGTTGAAATATCCTGGCACATTTATAGTTATCTACAGTGCCAAACCAAGCAGGATGGTGCAGCAGTAAAGCATTTTGTTTGAATGTGAGCCAGGGCATTGTCCTGAGTGAGGTTTTTCATGGTTTTTGTCAGACCTTTTAGGCAAAAGCTGGGATAATAACTCAGTGTGGCCACAAATTTAATTTTTCAGATCCTTTCACATTTTTTATTCATCAGTTATCCTGACACTACATAGTCTAGAGATTGACAGTGTCACAAAATACCCCCCCCCCCAAAAAAAANCCAGATTATCCTATTGTCTCTTTCTGTTTCATAGGTTTATTTTCAGTTTGATGTAAAAGGGTAGGAACTGCTTGACACACAACATACTGTCAACAATCCATTGTCATAACCAAATCAGGGGACATGTTAACCCACTGTCAACTAACATCACCTCTAGGACATGCCATAGCTCAGGTGATTAGTCACCTGTTGCCCATTGCAGTGGTCTGGGTTCAAGCCAGGGTCAGGTCGTGTGGAATTTGTGGTGGACAAAGTGGCACTGGGGCAGGTTTTCTCCAAGTACTTTGGTTTCCCCTGCTAATTCACATTCCACCGATTGTTCCACAATTGTCATCTATCATCTAGGGCTGGTACAATAGGCCAAACAGTGGCCACAGTACCAAGTGGACACAGTCTCACCCCATGAGACAAATAATAATAAAAAATAATATCTCTGGCTGCTTTGTCCAAGTAGCCATACCACATGTTTGAAACGGTGTGAAGTCTGCACTTATATTATGCTAGTATTTCATCTTGTTTTAAATAGATGGCAGCCTTGTGCTCTTTTGTTGTCAGTTTTTGACCAAAAAATTTTATTTATCAGTACACACAAAAGATGATCTGAAAATAAGATATCACTGAAACAGCAGGAAGTTGCTGCCATATAAGTACAACTGCAAAGGCAGGCAGGGCGCCACGTAAACAAGTCCGCACAGTGTTGACAGAAATTCAGCAAGCTCTTTCCGACTGATGGATGTGGAGTTTTCTCATGATGGTGTGGCTACTGATTAAGACCCCTTTGAACTTCGACCATCATCCAAGGTTGTTAAAACAGCTCTACCAGGAGCCCAACAAAGTATGTTCCTATTAGATGTAGGGTTCTCACATTGGCAACAAGCTAACTGGCCAGCTGGTTTCTGAAGATGGAGGTGATGTATTCCTTAAAAATGTCAGTTGACTTTCACCGTACTACATGGCAATATATTGCATAAGATCTTCTGAGTTTCTATTCACCTGATGAAGGAAAGACAGCCAATTTGTAAGACATAATGGCCCTAAAAAGTGGGATGATGGACACAGTCCTAAAGAATAGCTGTAATCAACATCCCTTTTCTTTCTTTCATTCACTTCAAGAACCAGTTTGAGACTTAATAAATCACTGACATTTTATTAATGACACTTTATTAACTGAACAGGTATGTAACATTTAATGGCAGAATAATAACGAATTATGGGGCTGTCGGAATGTTTGCAATGAGAGACTGGGGAAAATCACAGGAGACCTGTTAGGTTAACTGGTATCTGTGCCAAGATCTCAAGCCAGGAACTTCTAATACAAAGCAGGAGTACTGACCAGTACACTATGTTGCTTGGTAGGACTCAACAAGATAAGTTTGTACAGTTTAAATAATTTTTTAACTTTACAGGAAACTGAAAGAAAAACGAAGGAAAATTCAGGAAGAAAACACAAGAAAGAAAGCCCAAAAGAAGGAAGAGCTGAAGCAGAAAGCAATGAAAGGGACACAGAAGAGATCAGAGAATGAATTAGAAATGCAAAAAGCACTGTCAGAAGTGCAGCAGGAAGCAAGGTCTGATGAAGATGATGATGCGGAATGGTATAGACAGGAGGTGGGGCAGAATCCGGAGAAAGGTAAAGACTTTGACCACAGGATGCAACTTCTTTATATAATTTTGTTCATCGGGGACGTGTAATTCTTCTGAACTTTCTAGAAACATCTGCAGTCAAACATGATGAGCTGTGTGTTGGTCATTGTGAAGTAACTGGATGAGGACTGGATGGTTGGGGTTTGATTCCAAAGAGGGGTGTTTAGATCTCTGTCTTTACCACTTGGCTCCTTCCTTGGGGGTAGAGTAGTCATAGCTTGAATCTGCCCATTCACTGCCATCTACTGCTGAAGTTAGAAGGTAAAGTTTTCTCTGTTCATAATCAAGCACCATGCCTTGAAGATGTATGGGGATGCAGAAGTATTGTTGCACACACACTGTTGCACTGAGGTGCTAGAAGGTGGCACATGGTCAGCTTTATACCTCAGTTGCAGTATTGCTGGGGAAAGAGTCCCCAGTATCCATTGCATAGGAGGCTGGGTGAGCCCCAGATCTGGTTTGGACATTGTGGGCCCAACTGAGTACGATCCTTTTCACATTACACATCAGAAATAGACTAGTTGCTGAAACAGTGTGAATGTCAGATATATGAGTACACCAACTACTGGATGATGTCAGACACAGTATTTTTATGACAAGGCAACTCTTGTTACAAGATTTTAGAGGATCTTTTGTCAATTTTGACAAAGTAGGATAGCAACATCAAGGTATGGCTGCGCCATAGCTTAAGTGGTTAGTCACTGTCTTTCAACTGCGGTGGCCCAGGTTCGATCCCGGGTCTGGTCAAGTGGGATTTGTGGTGGACAAAATGGCGCTGGGGCAGGTTTTCTCCGAGTACTTCGGTTTCCCCTGCCAATCTTCATTCCACCAATTGCTCCACAATCATCCTCACGTATCATTTGGGGCTAGTACAATTGGCTAGAAGTGGCTGCAGTACAAGGGACTTAGTCCCACCCCACTAGCAATAAAAAAATAAACATCAAGGTATGCAGTCTTGTTTTTCTGGCATTGTTTCAATTTTATATGTAATAATTGATGAAAGGTCTCTATAATCTGTTCCATATTTCAGCTATTTCCTGACTTTTTTATGTAATCTTGTTTTGGGTTGTCCCATGTCTTTTTTTCTTTAAATTGTAAGTTGAGTGCCCTTCTCAGTGTCTTTATTCTGTCATTCCTTTTATATAGCCAAACCATTTCTTGTGCAAGTCTGTTAACAGATTTTAAGTTCCAGCTTCTTCTTTCATGTCATATTTATAATTTTATTGCACATTTTTCCTCAGCACTTAAGGAATGTTAATAAAATACAGATATTAAACTTATTTGTTCCAGATCTTTTTGACGATGTGCCAGGAAGTCACAACAAGAGGAAGCTGTCTTCTGTAGGACTAGTGCATAAAAGAAAGAAAGTGGAAGATGGTTTAAAATACAGAACCAAGACTAAAAGTAATTCAAGGATACAGAATAAATTTGGGAAAACAAAACTGAAATTTCCAAGAGAGGGAGGTGTTCAGAAAAATCAGTTTCACAAGAGAAAAGTGTTTGGTAGTAAAATATCAGTGAAAAATAAGAAGCATTGAGAAAAATGTCACACCATTACATGTGTAAATTGAGCTTGTATATGATAAAAATTGTCAATACATTCTATGAGATATGCTTGTATTTCATTTTGAGTCAGAAGTGTAACATTACATAACATTCTCATTTCCTGGATTTCAAAATCAAGTTCACAGCATGTGCCAAGTCATCTACAATGGCATCAGGATGCACTGTTGGATGTTTCTCATCCACTGGGCGATACTTCCCAGTTCTCACCAATACACCAGTAAGTCCACAGTTCTGTGCCCCTCCCACATCTGACACTACATCATCACCAACCATCACTGCCTCCTCAGGTACAACTCCCATGTCTCTCAGTGCTGACCTGAAAAACTCTGGCTGTGGCTTACCTATAATTTCTGCTTTTACATCAGCAGCGTATTCAAGTGCAGCTGTAAACACACCCACATCTAACATCAAACTTTCAGAGTCACTGTAATATCTGCCTTGGCCTAGTGAAAATAGTCGTGGTTTTTCCATGTTTATTAGGATTCTGAATGCTTTATTCAGGTTTTCGTATGTGAAGTTGTCTCCAGCATCACCAAGCACAACACAGTTTGGGTTGCTTTGATCAATGGCTTCAAACTCAGGTAATACATTGGGATGCACCAACAAATGTGGTCTCAAGTTTTCGTGCTGAAGTAATGAAATTAATGCAGGGCAAGGGGGCACAATATCCTGCTCCTGAACAGAGTAACCTAAATTTACGAGACACGATACCATTGTGCGTCGAGTTATCTGAGTTTCATTAGTCACAAGCTTAACCGCCAAGCCAGCCTCGCGCAGTTTTCGAACTGCTTCAACAGATCCGGGAATTGCAATTCCTCCGTCTTTTAGAACGCCAGTAATATCTAGCAGGACACCACCGATTCTTGAATTTTTCAGCAAACTCATTTTTCTATAGGTGGTTCACAACAAACGTACAAAATTTTCAAACACTACGATCGCGAACGCAGGTTTGGATCGAAGTCCCCTACAGTTAATATAATTTTCGCAAACCACGATATGCTAAATAATTTTGTTCGTCGTTTTCATTACATATTACAACGAAATATATATAAGTTAAGATACGTATTATTTAATCTTAAAATGTTGCTTTTTACGCAATTTTTCCAAAGGTCACTTTATAATGCAGCGTCGTACACTTCACATTTCTGGCAATAGTTCTGTAAGTTTTCGCCCACATGCTAGATCCTGCTTACTTCTTGTTGGTTACCTGTATGCTTTACTCCCGATCGCTCTCGATCCTGAACGATCCTGAAGATGGAGGCAATACGTTCGTCACATCGCTGAACTTCCACCGGACTACACGGCGTCACATACGTCAAATACCAGAACATAACCAGAATGTAGTTAGCGGTAGTGAGAACCACACGTCGTTGATAGTACATCATAATTGTTATGTTGGCAACACTCCAATGTTAAAATATAATGTTAGAGTTGGCAACGTCGTAGTAAACAATTTTCAATAATAGACTGCGCTACATGCATTGTTCCTAATTTCTCTATTTTTATGTGTTACTACGGTTATGTGTGTAGAAACAGAAGTTCCCTATTATGTGGTCGAACCATGGGAACCATGTGAGTTAGTGACCCGTGGTAGTATGTAAATGAACATATTGTGGTGCTGAAAGAATACAATGTGATGTATAATAATTTACTTCATATAAACAATGACTAGTCAAAAGTGGAGGAAATATTTGTTGTGGTTTGCTAACGAGCATGTAGAGTTCCGTTTGCCTGTAAGTTACAGAAAGACTATTGGTATTTGTGTTCAGAATTGAGCTGACTTACCTAACCTAAACTGATGCAGCCTAACTTTGTCAGTCGGATTTATTAATACTTCAGTAGCATTGCTAATGATATAATACTGAAAACAGATGTGGAATAAAATCGAGAATGATATAGCTTAGTTTATTTTTTCTGCTTTTCTTTGTAGGAGATTAAGTCCATAGCTTCTCTGTTCAACATTAATATAAGATGGATTGAGAAACCAAACCAACATGTAAGTAGTAATGTATTATTCGTTTTAAAGCACTAATGTACAATATTCAAGACATCAGTGTTGCCATGATAGGCGATAGCACCAAAGGTTAGGGTGTATGATGATGTGTTTGTATCAGCATTTGAATAGCTTGTGTATTTTAAGTTTGTTCCATGCTTGTAATAGATATACTTGTTAATGTAATACATCTGTCCCTATTGATCCACATTGCAGTGTTACAGAATGTAGTACACTGTAGGTCATATGTAATGGGTATTACGTATATTTTGAGAAATTTGAAGTAATACACTTGTAGATTTCTGATGATTGTGTACAACATGGGTTGTCCAGTGATAGAGGTTAGTTCTTTCTAAGGGACCCAACAGAATAGTTGTCTCCCCTCTCACCTGAGGGTGGAAATGGATCCAGTTTCAATAATGCTGTGTTCTATAGTTTGTAAACTACCGGATGGTGGACTAAGTTCAAAAACCAATAATTCGAAATAATTAATTTATGTCCTGAGTGCAAGTTGGTGCCCTTACAATCTGTGATCTGAGATGCTGTTATTCAGGTAGAGGATAAACTTCCATCAGAAGTGATGATACCACATTTTGTTATAGCCTTACTGGGTGGTAGAACTACCATCTGAGAAAGCTGCTAGGCAGATTGCAAGCCGATCTGTGGGGCTACGTTCTTGCATGGAACTTTGGGCTCAAGGTAAAACAGAAGAAGAGCTGCACAAGAATGTCCGATCTTACCCCATGGAGTTAATGAAACCATACTTCAAGCCAGAATTGTCATTTAAAATACACGTTGAAACTTTCTGCAACAGGCAGAGCCAGGCAGAAAAAGTATCAAAAATTGAGGTATGTACACCAAATTAAAGGTTGTTACAGTTTTCCTTGTATCAGAAGAGAAAATTGTTTTGGGGAAACTGGGATTTCTAGGATAATACAGGTATTATCCCTTATTTAATGTAACTAACTCTGGAAAAATGTTTATTGTCATAGTCTCTGCAAGGAAGCTAGAATGTTTTTTAAACACCGAGTATTGCAAAAGGGAGTGATAATCAGTTCATTCTTTTGTGTAATACTCAGTTCGTAAGAAAAAATTCGGGGCCCTCATCTGTGTGTTAACACATGTATTGTCATAGTCTCAGCAAGACGGACCCCGCGGCTGAATCCTGGATCATCAGGCATCCTTCACATTCCCTAAGTTTTATTTTTAGTAGAAGTCACATTTCCAATCTGTGGGACTGAACGGTTTGTCTGGGGGTGATACTGTAGGCCTGTATCTGGGAGGTGCTTGGTTTGAATCTTGGCTGGGATGCTGGCTATCCTGACTGAGGTTTTTCTTTTTTTCTTCAGTCCCTCCAGGCATATATTGAGATAGCACCTTGAATAGGCTAAATCTTTTCAAATTTATCATTCATCAGTCATCCAACCATCTGATGTTGTATACTTTAAATATTGACAGCATTGTTAAATAGCCTCCAATGAAATAACAAAATAGCATCTGTGAGCAGGAAGATTTGTGCATAGATATCATTGGATATTGAACTCAGAACCCTATGAATGAGAACCCAGTGTCTTATCCAATACCACCAGGTTCCCTGAAGGTTGGGGTATAGATAATACTAAAATGTATCATGTAATGCTGTAAACTATCTCGTAAGTATAAAGGGCTTATTTTTTGCTTTCCAGTCATTCAGCTATTTGCCTCTGGAGGGCTCTGTGAAGCTGAAGAATCCAGATGTTTGCTTGCAACTCCTAGAATATTATGGTCTGGATTCAAATCACATACCAGAGAAGCCTTATAAGCTCTTTTTTGGACGATGGGTAGGTATTTAAAGTAGGCAAAGGTGGTCGGGTTAGAAAGACATTTAGCAGATAAGTTGCTGTTCTGAATTATTCTCTGGTTTTTAAATACTCTAAAACCTGTATAAAGTGTGATGTAGATTAAATAGAAACCTGCCTTTATTGGATTTATCTTCTCATGAAAATATAGAGCAAGAATTGGTGGAAAACTACTCAGACAAATGACAACTAAAATCTTCTCAGATGATCAGCTGCATCAGCATTGGGCTGAAAACCATCATGCACTAGCGCACCAATAGGAGGTAGCATTGCAGAACAGTAGCAATTTGATGCTGGTCTTCACCAGCATAGTCATTCTTGATTTTGGGCCCCATTGGGACCCATGACCATATTTCTGTTAATTACAAGACCACTTATGTGTTTTGAAATGGGGCTCATCTTTATTGACAGGAGGGGTTGGTCTTATTGTGAAGGTCTGTGAAGATCTTTAGTTCAATATTGACATGGCTAATCACTCACCGAGATTTTAGTGCATTCATTTGCCATGAAAACTTCAAGTGTTACATAAATAAACATTGTTTAATGCAGAAGTCAAAAGAAGATATAATGATTTCATGAACAATTGTACTTGAATGTTCACTATTTTTTGTTCATATAATTGTGTGCTGTACTTCTCTATTTGAGAGGTAATGTCCATTTTACAAGTGGGACATAATCAAGGTTAGGTTCTTCTGGGATGTGGGTAAATGGGTGCCAGTGTTTCAGAGGAACTTGCCACTTCCTTCTTCAGTATAGAAAAAGGAAAGAATTAAGTCGATTGCAGGCAAAAATGTGCAGAATGTTTTAATGTACTGCTGGAAGATTTAAAAGGGGGGGGGGAACTGAACATTGATTGACCTCTGTAAAAGAGTTGTGGACATAACTTGAATTCATAATTTGTGTTAGGTCATAAATATGCTGTAGACCCTCAATTATTCATATGCAGATTGTGTACTTCATTTATTAACTGTGAGACTAAGAATTCCATAGGTTATAGCTTCCTACAGTAGTTCAATTGTTGCTCATTTCATCTGTTTCAGTATTACTGTACATCTTGTCACCCTACTGCAACTTTCTGTTTTATGATTTTATTGATTTTGTCATGGGTCTACTGCTGGTTGTTTTCATCTGTTGGAAAGGCATTTTTCTCACTGTTTAGTTACCACTAAATAACAATTAAGTGACTTTCAAGATTGAGTGCAGCACTGATAGTGGTTATTTTTCTCTGTTTTTAATTATCTATGCTACTACTCTCCTCCATTACCGTTGAGTGTGCTCTGTAGGATGGGGAGGTCTGCCACATGATGGTTTTTATCCACAAGTGACTTGTGCTGAATAGAAACTTGCCTGAAATACAAACATTTTCAGGTCCACTCAAATCCTGTTGTAAACAAGTTTTACTCTAAAGGCTCCCACACACAGACGCGATACGATTCCGGACGATATAGCACTCGGGACGAAAGCGGTTGTTTACCGAGTGGGCCGCGCACACAGCCGCGACACTCGGGAACCTCGGGAATCTTTGACACCCGATAACCAGCTGGCCATGACTCACACTCAATCAGTATCTATACGTACGTGAAACGACATGGGTAGGCAGATGGAACAAATAATAGAGTTCGTCAAAGAAAATGCTTTATTGTACGATACTCGTCATCCGATGTTCAAGGATTCACGTGCTAAGGATAGAAAGTGGAAGGAATTGGCTGTTACAATGAACAGAGACAGCAAGTAGAAAAAT